CATCCCGCCCTGCCCGACGGAGCACCTTAGGCAGTCCTTCAGGCCCCCAGCACTGGCAGAAGACACAGTGTACTGCACGTGCTTAGTGCAAGCTTCCTGCCCTATGGCACTCAGGAGAGGAAGCTAAGTGCAGGCTGGGGCCGGAAAGTGAGTGCATGGACGGGCCCAGCCTGGAGGCTCACTGCTGTGGCCACAGACTCTGTTCTCACCCTATGGAAGGCTGAGGGAAAAGAAGGCGAGGTGGCAAGGCGAGACCCCAGTGCTGCAAGCCCTGGAAAGGTGCAGCTATGTGGGAGGGGTCTGACCCAGCCAGAGGCCGTGGCCCAGCACCGGGGGGCAGAGTACAGTCCTCACTGCCCACTGCTGCTCTCTCCGCCTCTCCATGGGCTGGAAAGAGTGAAGGGCCCCAGGTACGTGTTCCATGCTCACCATGTCCTCTGGGGTGAGCCCATCTTATGGGGTGATGCAGCTAGCGTCTGGGGACGGACCTTGTGGCAGGAGGTGAGGAGGGGTGTTGAGGGGCAAAGACCCAGGCCCCACCTGATCTGAAAGCAGGGTTGGGGGCTACTCCCCTCACCCCCTCCCTTCCTGTCTGTCATGGGCAGGTGAGGGGGCCTCTATCCCCTGGCCCCTGCTCTGGTTTAAAGGGGAACCACCAGGAGGCCTGATGGCGCCAGGGAGGGCCACCTAAGGTCAGGGCACAGGCAGAGACTTATAGCATGGATGTGGGGTACCCTGGGCTGGGGCAGGGCCAGGGTGGGCCGTGCTGGAGCTTCTGGCGGGACCATGACTGCGAAGGGGCTCAGGGACCTGCTATTGTCTGCTGCTCCAGGCCCTCCTGCTAGCATAACTGCTGGGCAGCCCTGCGCTCTGGGCACTGCGATGGGGCTGTGTCTAAAGCCGAGGCCCTGTGCCCCGTGGCTCCAGAGAGCTACTTGGGGGCTTTATGTGCACCGGTGTGGCTGTGTCACCTCACAGCACTAGGAACCCTGGCTAGGAAGCAAGACACTGTGTGAACTCCAGCAGCTGGGTCCGAGGGCAGGAGGGGAACGGAGCTCTCTGGGAATTCCTGACCCACACCAACACCCAGGTTCCTTCCCAGCCAGGGTCTCCTCTGTGAAACAAGGAAGGAACAGTGTTGCTTTGATGAAACAGGTGGGCATGCCCAGTGCGGGGGTTTAGGGCTTGTGTGGAGAATAGCCCCCCATCATGGGCTTTGCTTCTTTATGGTCTGGGCCCCTTGGCGCCTGCCTGCCTGCCTCTGCCCAGTTTCTATTATTACTTATCGCAAGACACCAAGGACACAGGCAGAAACATACATGTAAACATTGGCTGTCGGTCAGAACAGGTGGAGTCAGGGGCGGGGTGCAGCAGATGTGGCTCCAGCCAGCCCAGAGACCCAAGTGTTTTGTGGACAAGGGGTCTGGAGCGAGAGGTGAGGAGTGTCTGGATGTCGTGGCGTTGGTCTGGGTGTGTCAAACACATTTGAATAAGGGAGGCCGCTGGGAGCTGAAACGCTGCGCCGTCGGTTACATCTTTGGGTTACTGGACTCCAGGACCCCCAGGCCAAACCTCTCAAAGCGGGACACAACTTTGCTGCTGTTAATGCTGCAAAGAGGAACAAAGACATGGGTCACTGTCCCGCTCGTCTGGAGGAGGGTGAAGTGACACTTGAGCAGATTGCAGAAGCTCTGCGGGGGGGACCCTGCCCTGACCAAGAAGTGAGACTGCTCGGCCCAGGACCTAAGCAGAGTTGCTGGCCCCTAGTGGAGGGCAGTGATGTGGCTCGTTCACCCCCGAGGGCCCCAGTACCCAGCCCACATGGTCACTGCCATGGGTTCTTGTCTCAATTGGGTTCCCAGTGGTCAAACTGGGAGAGGAGGGGAGATCTGGCTCCCAGGATTGGGAGTGACAGCCTACGCTCCAACACGTGGCTGTCTAACAGTGGGGGCTGCCAGGATGCAGGTTGGGATGTAGCTTTCCAAGGTGCAAATGCGAGATCTGGACTGAGCAGGCTGTATATCCGGCGGGTGGGTGGGTGGAGGTGAATCTGCATTTAGCAGTGCAATGACTGGCCGGCCTGCACAGCCTCAGGCGCTGGCCTGTGCAGCATGGTTTTCATTAATGAAATGGCCACAACTTCTCAGGGAGCACGGCTCAGCATACAGCTGTTTGGAGCCAGCGTCTTGTATGGCCACAGAGCCATGCATGTGTCTACCTGACCCCACAGTGGGCCGGGGAGCCAGGAACCCTGCAGGGGGACCCTGGGATCCCGGTGCTGGCCTCCAGGCAGCTCTGAGATCAACCCACTCCTTGTTGGACATGATCCCCACCGGCTCCAAGCCAAACAAAATCCCTCACACCCAGCAGGGAGACAGCCCACCAGGGTGTTAGTAGTGGGAGAGGCCAGCCCCACCCAACCCAGACAGCCCTCAGGCCGGTGGAGGGAGGAGGAGGCAGAAATCAAAGTCCCATCCGGGAAGGCGGTTAGAAGCTGCTGCAGCTGCCGGGTTTGCGAGCTCAGTTAGTGGGGTCCTCCGTGAGGGTTACTCGGCACACGCGGAGAGGGGAGGGCTGGTTTAAAAAGGAGCAACAGAAGGCTGGAGCGGCAGCGAGGGCATCCCTCGGGTTAGTGCCCGCGTCTCATGGCGCATTTTAGTAGAATCCCAGCGCCGGGTTGTCGATTAGATGCATGCAAGGCAGCCAGGCCTACAACCTACGGGAGGGAGAGAGAAAAGGGAAGGGCGGTGTCAGAACCAGGGGTCAGAGGCCAGAGCAGAGACAGGTCTGCTGGCACAGGGACCTGTGCCAGCAGGGAGCGAGGACCTGCAGCAGCCCTCTCCAGGGCAGCCCCAGGCCACGGCTAAGTAACTGGGCCACCGCTTCTGCACACTCGATGCAGACTTCTTGGAGCTGACCACTGCCCTCGTTGGATTCTCTCTCGGGCTGCAGCATCCATGGGTCCCCAGGGGTAAGCCCCTCTGCCAATTACACAGGCCTTGCCCCATGCTGTGGTCTTTTCTCAGCTATTGAGAGAGATGGCCGAGCCCTTGTCCCTCCCTCGTGGCCCCTCCAGCTGCGTGGGAGTGAAACACACAGGGTGGCGAGGCTGGGATGCAGAGGGCACCGCAAGCGGCAGAGGATGCGGCAAACGACAGAGAACACACTACTCCTCCAGGGCCGGACAGCAATTCTTATGCCCGTAGCGTCCTCTCCCGTAGTAGCGGCTCCGCCAGCGCCTGCCAGTGCCCCAGGTGGGTCGGGGAAGGGCACGGTTCAGCCCCCGTGGGCGCCCGATGGACAGTGGAGGAATGAAGACAGCCAGGCCAACGTGTCCGCCACCCCCACCCCCCAGAATAAAGATCCACAGGACCGATGGGAAAGAAAAGAGAAAATGAGAATTAGAGGCAGAGCAGCAGAAGGTGGAAATCACGAATAGGCGCTTTGGAAAGATTCGCTCGGGGCCCGTGGCAGCTCTCCTGTCAGGGGCTGGGATTCATGGCCCTGGGTAGGTGACACCCTCTCCGACTCAGTTTCCCATCTGTGAGATGAGAGGGAAATTGGACCTCCCCATCTCTAACGCCAGGCCTACCTAGTACAGCCTCTCTTAAGTGGATGGGAAGGCCAGGGCCCAGGTATGTAACCGAGGTGCCAAGGTCTAACAGAACTCTGAGAAACCCTTGCGCCCAGGCTCTGGGGGAGGACGCAGACCTTCTTGGCTTGGGGTGCAGGGAGAGGCCTTGGCTGGTTGGGCTTGCAATGCTGTAATCACTGCCTCACCCGTTCGTGTACCTAACTGTGGTAGGGCTGTGTCAGGAGCTGTGACAGAAATGACAAGACTGTCCTATCTGGTGGAGGCCGCATTGCAGCGAGTATCTGCTTGTCTCTACCTTAGCGAGACCAGTCTCCCAGCAGTTGGAAGCCCAACCTTGGCCATCCGTGTATCCTGGGCAGATGTGTAACAATGGTTGAGAAAAAATCCACACCTCCACGACTCTATTCTGCTGCTGTATATTTGTAGCGGCCTCCACGCCATCTGAAGAGCAAAATGCTGCACGTGGCACTGCGTTAGCAGATAGAGCATCCCCAAACTCAGCCACGGTATCCACACTTCTGAGATTTCTGCTACTTTGGGCTTGTGTCTGGGTGATGCATGCTAGGCCTTAAAGTTTGCAACTATTTATCTCCTCCCAGAGTGCAGCCTGCACCTATTTGAGTGGTTTTCACCGTTCTAAATGGCCACAGGGAGAAGAAAGTCACAGGAGACTTATTTGTGTAAGCACCTGGAACAGGCACAGCGCCAGCTCTGCGCCGACAGGCTGTGCCCTGACGGGCTGTGCCCTGCGGCTCCCCTGGTGTCGGAGCAGGGCTGAGTCACGGTGACACGCAGACTTTGTACTTCCCTGTGTCTTGCAGCTCCTGAAACACTGATGACCTGACCCTCGGTGCCCTGAGGCTGTCTACCCTGGATGTGGTCCCACACCTATATATATATTTTTAAGCACAGTGACTAGGGCCTGGACTTGTCCAGATTCTCCAAGAGAATCAGCCAGAAGCCAGAGTGTGCTGCAGGAAACCAAGGGGTAAGAGGGTGCAGGGGGCGCATAGCAGCCTCCAGAGCCCAGAGGGTGGGGTGGGGGGTTTACACAGGCAGGGAGACACCCACCTGCACCCCAGGGCGGTGGACCCCTAGTGGACAGCTTATGTATTGCTCTCTTTAAGTGATCCTGGCCATGTCCAGGTCTCTGCTTGGCCCCTTCCTGGGCAGATTCTGCCCATGGTGGGGCCAGGGCTGGGCTGGGAGTAGTGATTTCTGATGTTTCATAGACACAGGCTGAGAGTTTTAAATTAACACAGACTCGTCGAAATAAACTTGGGAACAGTTAGTTTTCCGTACTCCCCGCATGAGAGTCACAGCGGCAGACAGGTGCCAGCTGCACACAGGGCACTTACTCAGCTGACTTCCAGAAGTGGCCAGGGTGGGAGAGCCGCCGGTTTAGCTTGGGCAGCTTCTCCAGCATCTCCATCAGCAGGCTGAAGCTGGGTCTCTCATGTAGGTCAAAGGCCCAGCAGGCAGACAGGATCTCCTGCAAACACAACAGGTGTCAGTGGGGTCGGGGTGGCCTGCAAAGGGTGCCTCCTGTACTCTTGAGGAGGTCCTTGATGGACAAGAGAAGGGCTGAGGAACGGCCGTTTGGAAAGCGCTCATGTGCTTCCAGTTCAGAATGAAATGCATGAACTGGTCTCCTCCCTTCTGCCTTGCGCTCACCCTGCAAGTCTGAGAGAACAGGACCTGTGCTGAGCAGAGCGACCATGGGACAGAAGTCAGGAGGCACAGTGGTTGAACATCCATGCCTCGGCCTGACCAGCAGGGCGGCGACACAGCTGCTGTCCCAGGACTGAGGTGAGTACCCCAGCATACCCCTTTTCCTTTATGGGCTGGAGGGAGGAGGCTTGCACACACCCATGAGGAGTCTTCTTAAATACAGTTGCATTCTGTGGGGTTGTCTGCATATCAGAAATGCTGGAGACAGAGTGTAAGATTGTCTCTGGAGGCTGTGCCCCCTGGGAGGCAGCAGGGTGTGGCCCAGAAAATTGGCCCCAGCCATCCACATGGGAGCCTGAGATAGAGTTTCTGGCTTCTCCTTTGGACCTGGGCTGTTGCAGCTAACCAGCAGATGCAATAGTTGTCTCTCTTATACATATGCCAAAAAAAGAGAGATAATTAACTATGAAATTCTGCAGTGTGTGGACCCAATTTTGGACTGAGAGGGAAAATAATAAAGGGTAACAGAGATGGGGGCTCACTAGGAAGGACCAAATGTTTAGTTGGAATCTCAAAACAGAAAACAAATTTCAGGGTGAGAAATGATCAAGGAAATTAAAAAGGAATTTCACTAAAGGAGAGAAGAGCACCCGGAAGTATACTCAGATGCATTTTTATGGAATCACCCCAGCAAGGACAAGGTGGGATGCCACATGTGCCTGGTGTATAGAACATACCTGCCCGCTGGCCCTCGGGGCTCTCCCTGTGTGCCATACGCTCACATAAAGACTGCCCAGCTGCCTGCAAGCCTAGAGCAGTGCCTGCTGGTCAGCTGCTTCAGGGACACGGGGAGGGGCTCTCCCTGCTCTAAATCGTGCATGCCACTGGCCACAGCCTCCAACGGCGAGGTCAAGAAGGATACCCTGACAGCGATGCTGCTGCTGGGCCTCCTCCTCGTGCCAGTCCTTCCATCAGTTCAGAACACTGGCTGCATTCCAGGACGATCCAAAGAGCTTTATGAAACTCAGATGTTTCCCAATTAAAGCTGGTGCTGAGCCCAGGCCCTGCCGTCCCGAGCTCTGCCCTGCTCCAGGCCTTCCCTGGAGTCAGACTGAAGTCCTGTCTGCTGGTTCCCTTAAATGCCCACAACAGCCAGGTTGAAGCCAGAATACAAGCTGGATCTCCTGTGGGTGGCACCTGCTGCCCCCAAGGTGTGCGTTAGCAGGAAGCTGCCATTGGGACCGGAGCTGGGACATGAACCAGACACTCCCCTTGGGGCGTGCAGATTAACCCCTGCCCTGAGCACCCGCCCCAAGCTCTGGGCAGCAGAGCCTGACAGCAGGCAGCTACTCACGCTGACTTCCTTGCCCAGGCTGATGGAGGCCAGGAGGCGCTTCGTTCCTTCCCCACTGCCGATCTGCCAGATCAGGGCCTCTGCGGCCTGGTTCTTGAAGGGCCAGTCTCTTGCTTGCAGCTCATACCAGATAGTCCTGCAGGGACCCAGACACACAGTGAGTCCCCAGACCACCCTGCTTGGCTGGTGGGCGCTCTGTGCACAGAGCCCCAGGCTCCTCCTCCAGCCTTCCTCCCGCTCCAGCTCTAGGATGCTCCCAGGGGAGGTGGGTCCATGTTCCTGCTATGCTGGCAGCCCAGAGGATGGGCAGGCTCCAGTGTTCAGGCACACACTGCTGCCTGAGCAGAAGGCAAGTTCTACCAGGACTCAGCCCCAAATCCTGTCTTGACTGAGGGTCACAAAGCTCCTGAACGAGGGCCAAAAACCACCAAGCCCAATGCCTGGCACCCCTTGTGCCCAGGTGGAAGTTCAGGGAGAAGGTAGCAGAACTGAGTCTACCTCTGTGGGAGGGTCCTGAGACAGTGGAGTGGGGCTGGAGGTAAGCCTGACTCAGCCGGACCCTGAAGACTCGGTCAAAAACAGACCAGGAAATTGCTCATTCTATGTTCTATGTTGACGCAACGTTCAGATGACAGTGTTTTCCCTACACTGAGCTAAACATTGGTTGAGCTACTTCCCCTGGCTTCCTTTTCTTAATGTGGTCCCTGGTTCATGTTATTTTCTATAGTGCACCCCCTGCCAGCCTCAGCTCACCCGAATGCGTAGACATCAGCAGCTTTGGAGAAGGGCAGCTGGTCCTCGTCCTTGCCAGGCACCATCTCACGCACAATCTCGGGAGCCAGGTAGCACAGCCAGTCATGGGACAATTTCAGCTGGTTTTCACGCCTGCAGGCCCAGGGGTTGGGCTCTTAGGCAGGCAGCACACAGCCTGTCGAGCTCCCCACATCCCTGAGCCAACAGAAAGACGACCGGACCCAGCACACGGGCCCTCCCCTGGCACCGGGGATGCTACTGGGAAGTCACAGCCAGGTTTCACAGGGAAGTGGTCAGAGCATGGGGATTGGCAGGGCCCTTGAAGATACCTAGTTATCCAGGCTGAGGGTAAGGTGCCCACCTAGACAATCTTTGGTGCCCGGGAAAGGCAGTGCATCTACTTGGCTCTGCAATGGCTGCCATTCTATGTGTCCCACATGCCCAGGAGGAGACTGAACCCCAACTCCTGGCTTCTTCAAGATCTGAGTAACCTTCAACACCCCTTCTCTCACCAGGTCTGTGACTCCCAGTTCCTCTGGCTAAGCTGGGGGTCAGCCAGGGAGGGAAGGACCCAGCTTAGCCTGGGAATCAGGTTATCAAGGCTGTCCTGCAGGAACTTGCTCTGCAGTCACACACAGCCCAAGGGCTGGGATTGTGGTGGGACCCTGTGCCCGTCAGCACCTTGTGGCCCACCCTGAGGCCCACGGCCAACTCACCGCTCCTCTCGGAACACGCCCGAGATCCCAAAGAGCCCAAAGTCTGTGATGACCACCTTGCCATTGTCGTAGAATACGTTCTTTGACTTGAGGTCCTTGTGCACGATGCCCTTGGCATGGAGATAGCCCATGCCCTGCAAGAGAGTGAGGCATCCATCAGGGGCATGGGACCACGAGGGACAAAGCCAGGTCCAGGGCTGGAAGCTTTGTCCAAACCCCCTCACTTCAGTCACAAGTAAGGTAGGGTGTGGTTCTGTTACCACAAGGGAAAACAGAGTGGTACATGCTGGTTTCAGCCACCCTTGACTGAGGGTGATGGCCAAGGGGTGGCCGTGGGTGGGGAGCCAGGAGGGCAGGGCATATGCAGCAGTGACGCCATCCTGGTTGACACACAAGGGGCCAGTGTTGTCAATGTGGTGGGTAAAACTGCTGCCTGCACACTGGCAGCCTGTATGTGTGCTGGTTCAAGTCCCAGCTGCTTCACTTTGAACATAGCTCCCTGCTAATAAGCCTGGACAGCAGCAGAGGATGGTCCAAGCCATTGGGCCCCTGCACCTATGTGGGAGACCTGGAAGAAAATCCTGGCTCCTGTCTGGTCCAACCCTGGTCATTGTGGCCATCTGAGGAGTGAACCAGTAGATATAAGATCTTTATTTCTGTTGATTTGAAAGGCAAATTTAGGTTTTTTTTTTTTTATAAAAAGGGGAAGGCTGCCTGTGCTGAGCCTTGCTCTGGGAAGTGTTCAGGAGTCCCATGCCCAAGCCCTTCCTATCATCAAACTGAGGGCTGGGCACTGCTCTCTCCATGGATGACTACAGGTCATTCCTTTGCTCACACACCCAGCAGGGGACACCAGAGAGCCCCATTTTATGGCAGAGGTGGGTGACTCAGAAAGGACAGCTGACCCAGTTTATGTTGCACAGCAGCCCACCCCTCTCACTGACCCGATGGCCAGGAAGCCCCTTTACCTTGATGATCTCTTGAGCGATCTGCCTTGTCTTGTTGATGTCCAGGGACGTCTTGGGGTCTCTCACGAATGAGTGCAATGTCCGCCCCTTGCAGAAGCTGTTGAGGGTGGTAGAGGTTGCTCAAGTCTGGGGCTGTGCCGCCTCACCCACCACTGGGCACCCAGGCTGCCTGCCTCTGGGGGCCTCGGCACCCCTTGACTCTCAGCCACAGAATCTGTTTTTCAGCAAACTGGGTGCCCACTCCTGTTGGGGCCTGGCCTGGATGTGCGCACATAAGTGCACACACTCTACAACAGGACACCTGGCAGTTCTGAACAGCTGTCCTTGGCAGGTTCAAGGCAATAGGCCAGGACATGCATGGCCCCTTGGGGCCACAGGCAGATGGCTGGGACTGGGGTTCCCCAGGAATCCCTGGAGCTGTTGGGGCTGTGTTTTCACACTCCTTTATGGCAGGAAAGGTCTGTGGTGAAGAGGAAGCACGGGGGAGGGGAATTGGGATCCTGGGTGCTCCAGCTGCTCCTGGGATGAGCTCCCATCCAGGGAGACACTGGCCCATCCCAGCTCAGGCAAGGGCTGGGGATGGCATCTTGGGGTTCGGAGAGCCAGGAGCTGTGAGTGGCTTCAGCCGGGCACTGGCCCAGCCCCAGCCTTCGAAGCCGTCTGTGGGAGTGAACCAGAGGCTAGATTGATCAATCCCTCTCATTTGGGAGTGAATTCATGGAGGATCTGCCTGTCTCTTCCTCTAATGTTGCCTTTTAAATAAATAAAATCTTAAATGAGCAAGCAATAGTCTCTTCCTGGAAGGCACACTTAGCACAGTGGGTGTGTCTACTTTGGGGGGAGAAGTGTCCGGGAGTTGAGGAGACTGGCTTTAACTGTACACCTTTTATGGAATGTTTAATGTATGTCTTCATGTCAGTGGGGCGCTCACACCCTGTTTTTGGCTTTCTCCCCTGTGGATCTCTGCATGCATGCTTCCTCACCCTTCTCCCATGAGTGGCGGGGCTCCCTGGGGCTACCTGGTGATGATGGCCAGGTGGGGCGGGTTCATGCATGCGCCCATGAAAAGCACTACGTTCTCGTGGCGCGTCTGCCGGTAGTTCATCACCTCCTTCTTGAACAGCTTCAGGTGGTCCTGGTTGTGACCGTCCATCTCCAGCAGGCGGATGGCCACCTCACCATGCCAGCGGCCGCGATGCACACGGCCCCAGCGGCCCTGCCCGATGGGCTCGCCCAGCTCCACCTGCTCAAAGGGAATATCCCACTCCTGCAGGTACACGCTGGTCTGGCTGGCCTTGCGGGAGATGGGGCCACGCCAGGGTCGCCGGGAGCTGGGCAGGTCGTCCACCTCGTCCTCATCGTCTTCTGCCTCTGACTTGCTGGCCTCTGGCTCCTCCGCCTAAAAGAGAAGCAGTGGAGGATAGGGAGGGAGGGGCAGCAGGGCTGGCCTGGGCCACTTCTCTGCTGTTCCCTGGGGGTGCTGACCATGTAGCAGAGGCTTGGGGCCACAGAGGAGCCCAGGCTCTGGCTTGCTGAGGCTCCTGGACAGGCCACCTGGCTTCCCTCAGTGCTCTCAACCACAAAATGTGCTAACAGGCCTGGTGAGCACTGTTGACACTCTGTCTACCTACAAGGAACATGTGATGCTTGGAGGAGGGGCCAGCACTGTGGTGCATCATGTAAACCTGCTGCCTGTAACTCCAGCATCCCATAGGGAAACGGGTTCAAATCCTGGCTGCTCCATTTCTGATCCAGCTCCCTGCAACTCAGACAGTGCCACCTACATGGGAGACTGGGCCGAAGCTGTTAACTCCTGGCTTTGGCCTGGCCCAGCCCGGGCCACTGCAGCTATCTGGAGAGTGACTCAGCAGATGGAAGCTCTCTCTCTGTCTCCCCCAACTCCTCTCTCACCGTAGCTGTTTCAGCCAAGATAACAGAAACAGAACAATTATCGCATGCAGGGGACAGTGCCAGCAGGCCCGGCAGGGGGATGCAGCCACATCCATCCTTTGGGTTTCCCTGGGCATGGATGCAATTTCTGATTCTGTGGGCAGGAGTCTGGCAGCTGTGCTGTACCAGGCGGCCTGGGGCCAGACTCAGCCAATGCTCTTGTTCAAGTTTCAAGATAGTGGTTCTTGGGCCTGGTTATCATCAGGATGAACTGTGGTTCTGGCACACCCACTGAGTCAGCCTCTCAGGCCAGTGCCCAGAATGAAGTCTCAAACACAGGAGGAAGCCCAGCTCTGCTGTGCACCTCCTCCCCACTCCCCATCAGGCACATCCACCCTGCGTCTGACCCATGATGGCCAGCATCCTGATCACCAGCAGGCTCCGAGCAGGGGAGTGGAGAGCCGAGAGAAGGGGGGCCTCCCCACTCACCTCTGCCCTATGATCATCCAGCATGTCCATCTGGGGCTGCTCCTCTGGCCTAGGAGTGAAATAGGCTTGGTCAAGGGAGCTCCACAGGGTGGGGAAGCTCTGAGATGGGGCGGGGGGATGCGGGGACTAGCCAGCCTGGCCATAGGACAGGGTGGGTGGAGACCAAGGAGCAGCCCTCTGCCCGGCCTCAGTCATCCCAGGCTGGCTTGAGGGGATGAGAGGGTGCAGGGATGGGCAGGAACCTCAATGCCCCTTTCTTGGCTGACCCTTAGGCCAGGGTTCCTCTGACCCCGGCTCTGGCAGCCCTGGCCCTGGAGAGCTGGCCCCTCCCTTGGGCCAGGGCAAACTGAGGGTGTGACATCTTTCTCAGGGTTCCAGCAACACTGTAGAGAACAGAGGCTGAGCCCATGGCACTGTCTCATGCCAGCCAGAAGCTGCCTTCAGGGGGTTTCTCCCCATGCCCTCTCCACCCCTACTGTCTCTAAGCCTTCCCAGTTTTAACGTGCAGGCCCCCCAGTGCTGAGTTCCCTAAGAAGGGACAGAAGAACCCCCTCTAGCTGGGCTGACCTGGCCCAGGCACAGGGTAGAGTCTGAAAACATACAGATGGGGGTGGGAAGGGGGTCAGGGGGCATGGGAGGGACAGAGATGCCTACCGGACGCTGTTGGCTGCATCGGGGAGTGGCACTGCCTGTGGGACGGCCGAGATGTCTGCAGGGAACAGGAAGCAGACAGAGCCTGAGACCACTGCTGCACATCCCAAAGACCGCGCATGTGAGGCCAGCAGGTGCTGGGGCTGGCCCTCGCCCAGGCACCTGCCACTGTGCCTCAGCCAGGTCCCACTGCCCAGCCTCAGTGGCACCTGCTGCTGCCCACCCAGCTCTGAACTGGAAGAGTGGGTCAGGGAGGCGAGATGCCTCAGCCGACTCTAGTCTGCCATGGCCCTGATGCCCACTCCTCCAAATGGGGAGGTGGAGTGGGCTCCTGTGGACTAGCCATGTGGGCATGGACCCCCTGTGGGCTGGCGGTAAGCAGCGTGAGGTGCAGTGCCATACTGCTTGAGACACCTGCATCCAACATTGCAGTGCCTGGGTTTGGGTTCCAGCTCTGCTTCTGGTCTAGTGCCTCGGGGCTCAAGTATTCTCTGCCACCTTGTAGGACAATCCCTAGGACACCAGGACACCAGAATGTCCACATATGGCCAGGTGGAGCCCTCCCAGCAGTTCAGTGAACCCCAGCTTGGGTGGGGGAAGACTTGGGAAGAAAACACAGCTTCTGCAGCTCATCCTCTGCGCAGAGGGTGAGAGATCTGTGTGTTCCTTCCCCGTGATGTAGCCTCAGGGCAAGGTGGGCCCTTGGGGAAGGTGGCTCAGTGTCTTCCCAGTGCTCCAGGCTGGTCCCTGGGACCAGCACCTCCCCAGCAGGCCCGACGACGGTCAGTCCCCACAAGCCTGAGCAAAGCCACTGGGGTGGTCCTGCAAGACTCCACCAATGCTCTGAGTCAGCCCTTTCCTGGAGCTCGGTCGGAGAACAGGAAATTCTGCACTGACCAAACTACCGGGACTTGGGAGTTTATCTAATCTAGGAGTTAACCCACTGGCTACAATCTTTGCCTAAAACCTCTAATGCCAGTATCTTGTTGCTTGCAGTTAGAGACAAAAACCTGTATCTTCGAGGCTGGAATGCAGTCAAATGTAAATGCTGGCACATGGCAGGTGTGCAAAACAAGGGGTATGCATGACAATCAATGGATTGTCCTTGAACTGAACATTTCGTTTAAACCCTTGGCCATCAGGCAGCATTTCCAATGGCAGCCAGCAGGTGGCACTATACATCAAGACACAGGGAGGCTAGCCTGTGGGACAAATGAAACTGGCGCATCTTCCCAGATGGAATCCTTTCTGTCACTGTGGAGGGGAGGGCAGGGATGACAGCTGTTCCTCAAGGACCAGCAGGAAGTCCTGTCTCCTTTCTGCAAGCCCTGACCTGCCACCTCCCAGGTGTGTGGCCTGCAGTCTGCACGCAAGAGGCAGGACGGGTGGTATAGGCACTGTCCGAGGAAAAAGCCCATCTTCGGGACACCTATCCTGTCCCACCCCGGGCCAGCCTCAACGCACAGTCAGCTCTCAGGGCGAGGGTCGCTGGGCGAGCTGGACAGCAAGGGGGCAGCAAGGGGCGGTTAGTGGGACCATGCTGAGGACTCACCTGGGAAGATGAACTGCTGTCTATGATGGATGAAGTAGGCAGCTTTAAACAGAAGATGAGGTGAGTCTCACACAGAGCAGCAAATGCAGCGATGGGGAGGGCACGCAGGCACCCCAGACAGGGGCTGTTACTGGGCCAGGACAGCTGGGCTCCCCGCTCCACCCCAGGGCAGCAGGACTGGCAGGGTCTGACTGAGCCATGCAGGAGTTGGGAGGTGGGGGAAGGACAGCAGGAGCCACAGGACAATGGAGTGTGCACAGAAGGACTGGGGTCCTGAAACCCAGGCCCGTGGCCGCACTGCTGCAGAGCCTAGCTGAGGCTCCCAGCAACATGAGCCCGAGAGGGCTGTCCACACGGGGAGATCTTGCAAAGTCCCTTTGCAGTCGCAGGGGCGGCCCCTTCCCCATTCTTCTCACCTGTACCACCACTTCCCTCCCCCAAAACTCTACCTTTTCCCTTAAATGGGACTGCAAAGGGTACAGTGGGGTTCTAGAAGCTTCTGTGGCATGTGCCAACTTGAGATCATCATTTCCCAGGCTCTCCAGCTTGTCCCTTCTGGGGAAGGAGTATGCCTGGCCCTCTCCCAGGTGTATCCCTGAGGGTAAGTCAGGTGTGCAGCAGGAAGCACCACCGCCCCAGAGACGTCACAGCAGACCAAGTGGCTGGCGCCCTTGGCGTTTCCAAGATGGGGAAAGGAGGAGGTGAGGGTGCACAGCCTCCCGGGGCATTGCGAGGGCCACGTCCTGGGGCATCAGGGCAAGCGGAGAAGCTGAGCTGATGAACGCTGCCATTTTCCCTTCAGGGGCTGCAGCAAAGAGGCCAGGCAGGGCAGGGAGGAGATTAATCGAGGGATGTGGCTCTGGCGTGAGAGGGCTGGGGTGCTGTGCTGACGTGTTCAGGTAGAGCGCAGCCAGCACGTGTACGTGAAGACATAAGGACAGTGAAAGAGAAAGCATGTCCTACAGGTTGGTAGGAACCCCGCAAGGCTGGGCCCAGCCTCTAGCAGGCTGTGTGCAGTCCTGGCCAGGTTGGGAGGGGGGGTGTCGCTGGCACAGGAAGAGCTGTGGCTGACCCAGCCTGGGGAGGCCAGCAGGCTGAGCCCCTCTGCAAGGTCGGGGGTGAGCAGCTTCCCCGAGCTCCCCAAAGGGCAGGGCAGGCTGGCACAGCAGCCAGAGGCTAGCCCCGCTGCCATGGGCAGCTCCTACAGAACACAGGCCCTTGCTGCCTCAGTGGGGACAGCCGAACGCCCACTCCACGTGACCTCCTTGTTCTAGGGGAAGGGAGAAGTTGGCAGCAGCCAGCCCTGTCCACAAAGTAGACTGGCCCCAGGGCCAGGATCACCACACTCTGTGCTGAGCAGCACCCAGAGAGTCACCCCACGCTCAGGGAGGACGACGTGGGGACAGTGACAAAACCAAGCTTCATGTCACAGGGACTTGGGTTCAGTGCTGGCTGGCTCTGCTGCTCATAGGCTCCACAAGTCAGGACAATCCATTCCCTTTCCCAAGCCTCAGTATCCCCATCTGCAAAATGGGTGCAGCTATGGTACTTCCTGCGCCCCTCCATCCTGCAAGCTGCTGTGCTGGAGGCATATGCCAGGTGCCCCAAGAATGGCAGCTCTCAACAGCCTTGGCACTGCCCGACCTGCAGCCCACTAGGGCTGCTGCTGAGAACAGTGCCCTGACTTCAGCCCTGAGAATTCTGGAGAACCCGAAGGTACCTGGGAAGTTGAACCTGCTATCCCGCTGGCCCGGCGAGGGGTTGGGCGGCGTGGTGGCACTGGAGGGGTTGGACGATGTTGGGAAGGGTGCCGGCGAGGAGGGCGTGGAGGATGCAGTGGAAGATGGGTTGCTGCTGGAGTCCAGGTGGTTGATGGCTGGAGGATGCTCCTGCAGGACAAAGGCCGTGGGAGTGGGCGGGCTGCCCTGCAGGGCCTCAGGGACCAGCCTGCAGCTTGCTGGCTGACGCTTAGCTGAGGACCAGGGTGGCCGTGCTCCTCTCTGTGCCCAGGGCTGGCAGCTCAAGGCATTGCAGCTACGATTTCTCAGCAGCAGACACTAAGGCTGCCCCAGCACCGCGCGTTCTGTGAGCTTCGGGAGTCCACCATGCGTGCCACGGCACGTGGGAGGGCTTCTTACAAAGCACCTATGATGTGCTAGGGGGCTCTGCTAGCTGTCAGGATGCCACGGGTTTTGTCTCTGTGAACCTCTGCTGTCCCAGATCAAGTCCCAGTAATGGGGGCCTCCCAGAACCCCCATGAAACTACAAACCGTTAGAAGCCACAACTGGACCTGGTTCCATCTGACAGAGTGGAGGTGTCAGGAATTCCAGAGCTGAAATGCACTGGCCAGACTCAGGGCCCTACTAAGCACAGATGCCTGCCTCTCTAGCCTTCTCTTGGGTGGGCCATGGACCCTGCTAGGGCCTGAACTACTGCGTAGCCCCAACCAGCAGGTATGCAGACAAATGGGCAAGCATTTATGAGGCACCTGCTGTGTACCACACACTCGTCTATGTTTCACGGGTGCTGGGATTTTCATTCCAAGGTTGAGGACATGAGAGCTCAGGGAGGTGAAGGACACAGCCCACAGGCACTGGTTAAGAGAGGGAGAAGCTGGCCGAGACCTATGCTTTTTTGTCTGCTTGCTGCTAGGCCTGCTCTTGCTTCCCTCACCTGCACAAGCCTGGCTTAGGTCTCCTCGCTGCCAACACCCTTCGTCACCCACCCACCCTCCCCAGGGTTCGCTGCCACCCCCTCTCCCTGGCTCTGGCCCTCAGCTGGGAACGGTTGGGGTAGTTCCCAGGGGCCCATGCTGGGGCCAGGGAAGCCGAAGACCGGTGCTAGGATCTAGCCAGGCCCAAAACCTATGCCTGTGGCAAAGCCCTTCACCTCCTGGGGCCTTGTGTCCTGAGCTCTATAGTGGGCAGAGCTGCTGCCACCTCAGTGCTGCCCACACGGCAACAGGTGACAGTCCTGGTGGTTTCCACCAGGTTCCACGGGAGCCACTGCTGCCTTACAGGCACTCACTTTACATAGTCATGGCCATGGCACTTGGGAGAAGCACTTATTCTGGGGGAAGAGAATCCATGACACAGAGTTAAAACCAGCAAGCTGCCACCTTCCACCTCACAGCCAGCCGATGTGGGGCCGTGAGCTTGCTGCCACCTGCTTTATTAAAGACCAGCGAGGCTCAGGTTCCTCTTCTGCACAGTGGAGGTGCTGTCAGCCTCTGCTCTTCATGGCTCTGAGTTCTGGGGGTACACCGAGGGAAGGAGCACCTAGCACACGGCAGCTGCTCACGGCTGGCGGTGTAACTGCTGCTGCATGTGAAGGCGACAATCACAGTTGAGGACAGAGCCCCCAAACCACCCCATCCAGGGCCACGTGTGCGATGCCCTTGCCACTGACCCTCCACAGGCAGGGTATCATATAGACAGGAGCCGCCCTGTCTGTCCCCAGCTGCTGGCCAGCCTACCTTCTTTGAGAGTGCTTTGGGGAGGGTCCCGAAGTGGGGTCCAGCTGCTCTGTCCACCGGGTTGTTGATGTCTGAGGGGACAGATTCTGTCCTCCGAAGAGTTACTGTTGGAAGGGGCAGGCATCGGGGAGAGATCTGTCAGCAGGGTACAGATGGCGCTAGATGCCCCAAAGCCGGATTGTAGGCAACAGGAGGGGGAGGACTCACATGGGAGGAAGGAGATCCGACAGGCAGGGGCCTCCTTCGTACACTTGTTGTGGCACTTCAGCCTGGCAAAGGAGGCGGTGTTAGTGAGCAGAGGGGTACGTATGACGGTGCGGAAGCCCTGGCCAGGCAGCCTCGTGTGGCATCCCTCTCCCCCTGTGACTGCCTCGGTGGCCATAAACTTGATGCTTGGACAGTGTTCGCCCAGCACCTGCACATTCTGCTCCTGGATATCCGGTCTGATCTGTACCACCCCAGCACCTGTCACAGGACACACGTCCAACTGTCTGATCTTCCTCCCACATTCAGAGAGCTCGAGACAGAACCTGCACCACAAGAGCAGCAGAACTGGCAGGCAGATGCTGGCGCTGCTGAATGGGACCTGGGAGGTCCAGCGCAGTCTGAGTCGGCACTGGGCTGGCCAAGTAGAGAGCTGGGTTCTCTCATTCTGGCCCTGTCTGTTGCTGCTCTACCAGCCTCACAGGGGACCTGCAGGGCAGCCTGGGGCTCAGGGTTATCCCGTGCCAGGTCCAGGCAACGGGCCTGAGACACTATCCCACACATTGGCTTAGATGCTTGGCGCAACACTGAGACACAAACACTACCCACCTTACTTCAGTTCACAGAGCAACTGTGGAGGCACAGGCAACCCAGACCCCAGGGCTGCCTCCACGTGGGGAGGGGGACTGGAGAGCTGAGGTTGCTCTCTGCTCATCCTGCCCTGCCAGGCCCCTCTTTCCCAACAGAAACCCCCCCAACGCGAGCAATTCTCTCGAGCTGCAGATGTCACCTCAGGACCATAGCCTGTCCCGGCTTCCAAGCCTGCACGCGTCACCACGCAAGGCTACACTTCAGACTGCCTGGTGGACTCAGCTCCAGTACCCAGGCCCCTCATTCTAACCTGCAATGCTTGCACTTCACTCCAAACATCATGTTCTTCTGGCACACGTGGCACACCTGTGACAGCCAGGACTTGGTTGAGAACCTGCAGGGGAGGATCCACATTCATGCTCACGCTCACCCCAGCCTCAGCACAGGGCTCGGCCCCAGCACAGCTGCCCCAACCAGCACCCCAGGGAGGGCACGGATCCCCAGGGACCACAGCTTCTCCCCAGGCCTTCATCCTCACTGCCAACACCCTTGGGCTGGCACAGACTGGCACGAGCAATGAGGATGACCACTGTGCCCCGTGACCCCACTGTGCACGCCCTCTGACACAGTGATCCCAGTCTTGGGACTCATCCCTAACATGCTCACGCTGTCATGCCATGGAGGGGCAAGCTCCTCCCGACAATGAAACACCGGAAGTCACCCGTGTGCCATCGACAACAGGTGCCTGACTGCAGCCCATCTCCACAATCGGACACTCTCCAGCCAGAACATGAAATAGGGAAGCTGCTTTGGTCCAGATACATTCTGATCTCCAAATCACATCATCAGGGGGAGACAAACCAGGGCCGTGGATATGGACAGTGCTAGAATGTTCCACATATGGGTGACACACGCAGGTACCTGAGATGCTTTTCACTAGGAGATCCTCAAAACAGCCCTGCAGGACAGTCAGGCTGGGCCTGAGGAGGGGCGGGGCTAGGAGGTGGGGGGAGGGTTAAAGCCTTCCCGGACCAGCCAAGGGTCCCGGGACAACTCCCCTCAGCTCCAAATGATTAAATTGAAACACTTCAGACTTCTTGGCTGAGAGGCCTGGGTTATGGGTGGATGTGACCATGACCTCATCATCTCAACCCTAGGCCTCAGGGTGGGTGGGGCAGCCTGGCCAGGCGGGAGCAGGGTTGTACACGGGCAGTCACTGGAGGAAGGAAGCAGCCGACTGGGAGATGCTGGGCTAGGCTGGGGCTAGGCTGGGGCTAGGCTGGGGCTAGGCTGGGCCAGGCTGGGGCTAGGCTGGGGCTAAGTTAGGGCTAAGTTAGGGCTAGGCTAGAGCTGGCTCAAATGCTTCAGGAAGCCACACGGGCACTGAGACAGAACAGGGTGATGCACCAGCCTCGTGTCCTGTGAGCCTCTTGGGCCAGGAGCCCTTCCTGCAGCTGGAGCTGTGACACCCGGCACGCTCACCCTTAGAACGTGATGGGGAGGAAGACACTGCTTTCCCATTTGTGGACGGGGAGGCCGAGGCTCACAGCAGCTCCCGCCTACAGTGCACAAGGGCACAAATGGGGTTCCCAACTTCAAGATCACATGGGACATCTCAGGTGTGGCTGATCTCTGCTTGCTCCTGGAGGGTCCTGGGTGCCCTGACTTGGGACATAGGCACCCCAGCCCTGACAGGGCTCCAAACACGATCCCCAGGCACCTCCAGGGTACTAGCACTGCCTGACGTGGTATGAGCTCACACATGGTCCTCAACGCTTGGGAGCCCAGGCCAGCGCTATCCCAGGGGATGGGAGGCCTTGGTGAGCCTCTGGTGGCGCTTACACCAAACCTGAACAGGTGCAGCTGGAGCACAGGCCTCCTGTGGCCAGGGGCACGGAGACGACCACAGCTCAGGGCTGCCAAACGCTGAGGAGCACTCCCTGTCATGAGCCCTACTGCCCCTTCCCAGCGGGCCTGAGGTCAGAGTTGCTGGAAGCCAACAGAAATCCAGATTTCCAGGCCAGGAAGCTTAGGGGAGGGCCCTGGTCTGGATTTCCAGCAAGCTTGAAGATGGCCTCCAGCACGGGGCCAGTTCTAGGACATGCGTGACATCACACTGGACACAGGGGATCTGGCTCTTTCTCCCTGTGGCGGGGACCCTATGTGTCCTGGGAAGGCAGGACAGCATAGTGAGGCAGAGACGCAAGGAGGCGCTGTAGAGGGGCCAGCCACAGCACGGGGCTTTGGGGGAGGAAGCAAGGAAGGGCTCAAGGCAGGTGTCAGCTCTCACACAGTCAGGCACCAGACCCAAGGTCCCTGCCCGGCACTGCACTCCCAACCCCCGGCACCCGTGCCCACCTGTGTGTAACCGAGAGTCCGATGTCCCTTCGTACCATCTGTGGGGATCCGTGCTGCAGATCTGCAGGGAAAGGGGTTGAGTGGGGCAGTGAGGGGCCCCAGCCTGGGTGGCCTAGGGCCTCCCACTTCAGAGGTCACAGGCCAGATGATTGACAGGGATGCTTTCCTGAACAGTGAGCTATCAGATCAAGGAAAGGCAAGCTGGAGCAGGGGGTGGCAGTGTCCCTGCCGCTTCCCTAAGTCATGTTACTGCCCAGTTGCTGCAGCAGCCTAGTCAGCTCGGTCACTGGTACCAGCAAGCTCGAGGGCCAAGGTAAGCCCATGTCCCATGTGAGGGCTTCACTGTGGTCACTGCCTGTCACGTGGCTGGAGACTGAGGGTTGTTGGGGAGCAGGTGTGGGGCTCTGTGGGCCCTCTGCAGCCAGCGGCACCTGCACATCCCTTCTCCCATCCAGTATCAGATGCCACAGGCAGGAAGAGCCTGGGCACCGTACCTCCCCACATTCCCACTGGGTCAGCCCTGCCTGGGTCAGGGCCTTTGGGGCTATCTTGGGCACCCCTGTGACTGCTGAGAGAAGGGCTGTAAAACTTCGAGATGCCCTTCTGAGGCCCAGTGTGATGGCTCAATTGGCTAAGCCTTCCACTGACAAGTGGTGGGATCCCTTATGGGCACTGGTTTGTGTCCCAGCTGCTCCACTTTCTATCTAGCTCCCTGCTTGTGGCTTGGGAAGGCAATAGAGGATGGTCCAAAGCTTTGGGACCCTGTACCCAAATGGGAAACCTGGAAGAAGCTCCTGGCTCCTGGCTTTGGATTGGTTGCTCAGCTCCGGCCACTGCAGCCATTTGGGGAGTGAAACAGCAGATGGAAGATCTTTCTCCTTTCTGTAAATCTGCCTTGGGGGATGGGGAGAAGAGCTGTCCTCCTGGCTGCTTCCTTGGGGGGCCGTGTGGGGGCTTGTGTTAATTCCTCATGGGAAGAGGTGTCCCTGTGTTTTCTGCAACATAGGCCTGAGTGAGGCAAGAGCAATGAGAGGCCAGGCTCCTTCAAGGCTGTGTCCAGAGCCCTGGGAACCTGTCTGTGCCCCAGGGAGACGGGGGCATGGCATTTCTCTTTCTCACCCTGCTTTCCCAGGACTTTGCCACCAGCTACATCATGGCCAATCAGGCACTCTGCTAACAAGACCTGGTCCTTGGGGTAGGCATTGTGTTATAGCGGGTTAAGTTGCTTTCCGTAGCACCAGCATCCAGAATAGGTGCAAGTTCGAGTCCCGCTGCTCCACTTGTATTCCAACTCCCTGCTAATGCACCTGGGAAAACGGTGGAGGATGGCTCTAGGGCTTAGACTGCTATACCATGTGGGAGGCCTGGAAGAAGCTCCTGGCTCCTGGCTCTGGAACGGCTTGCCCCAGCTGCTGCAGTCACTTGGGGAGTGACTCTCCTTGTCTCTGCAACTCTTTCACATAAATCTTAAAAAAAATTTGAAAAAGAGACTGTGCCCCAGGTACATGGCTGGCTCTGCGAGCCTGGGGCGGAAACAGACGTAAAGAATTTGAATACAGACAGCTGGAGGCAGACTCGGGTATACAGCCCGATCTCCTGAGGGAAAAGCCAGCCGCACAGCTAGGGGCAGGGGCCCAGGCCAGGGGTGGCAGAAGCGGGGGGCCTAGAGTTTTGGAGGCTTCCCTCCCCACCCACCGGAGCTCTTGGGGTCTCACTCCAAGCTGTTTCCAGGGATGTCTTTCTCTTACAGGGAGGGGTCCTGAGACGGCTGCAGTCCCCCTCCCGGAGTGTGACACAGCCCCTGCGCCTTGAGGGTACTGGTGGAGAGGGGCTTGTCTCGGGGTGGCCCCCATACGGGGACACACATGAGGGCTCTGCTCCCCAAAGTGTGGCCACTGGCGACGCAGGCGCTGGACAGCGCCTCTCTCTCCCCTAGGGCTGCAGCAGCAAGCATCTCCACTCCCGGACTGCACACAGGCCCAGTGGGCCGGGGGAGGGGTCAGGAAAATCCACCTCCACTGGGGACAGCAACACGAACACGACTCCTGGACGGCATAAGGGACCAAAATGAATCACCCTTACCAAACCTGAAAGAGACAAAAAGAGAGAGAGGGATTAGGTCACTGTGCTGGGTCAGCGTGTTCTAGAACATTCCTCCCAGGAGAGACCAGGCAAGAGGCGGGGATGTGGCTCGGGGCCAGGCTCTCAAACGACTGTGGGAACTTGGTAGAGCTCCATAGGGACACTCCCTGCGTGAGAGCAATGGCCCCGCCTGAGCCTTCCCGGGGCAGGGAAACTCCCCCTGTGCCATGCATGTTAATGCATTAGCTTACTTGAGCCCTGCCAGCTACCCATCATAGCCGCAAGTTGACCCAATTCACAGTTGAGCAAACTGAGGCCTGGGGAGTCTCTCCAAGTTGTGTGACCCACTGGTGGGGTAAATCTGGGATGCAGGTGGGAGGAGGGTCCTGCCGGCTAGAAAGGGTGTGATCGGGCCAAGAGGGTGGGGAGGACAGCTGTGTGGAGAACAAATGGCCCTGTGATGAGGCTGAGGCACAGACATGCCCTCAGCCACGTCATCCCTGGTGCTGCCACAGTGCCCTGGGACCCTGGGGGATAACCCAGGGCAGTGAGGTGCCTATGTGTCCCTGTGTGTTATCAGTGTGGTTACTGGTGTCACCTGCCCGTGGCCCTGCTCTCTGCCTGAAGAGAAGGGGGAAGGAACAAAGGCACAGTGCAGGCCCCTAGGGCCAGGGTGCCCCTCTGGGCAGGATCAGAGCGGCAAGAGGGGGAGGTGGGGGGGGGGGACATCAGGATCCCCCTTGCTGGCTCAAACCTGCAAGTTCATGGATCCCTCCTGCAAACTCAAACTCTCCCGGCTGCCCAGGGCCCAGACTACAATGACTCTGCAAGAGCCCACACTAGCACAGAGCAACTAAGCAGACCAGGCCTGGGGAAGCCCCCAGGAAAGGGGGCTGGGCTGAAGGCAGGAAACCGAGTATATCCAAACCCTGAGGGGTGGGTAGAAGCAGGTAAGCAAATGCCATCCTTCTCTCCTGTCCTCCCAGTGAGGGCAACTTATGGGGGCAACTGACATAAAAATAACTTAAACGTGCACCCCGGGGCCCGCCCTATGCTCTAGCAGGTAAAGCTGCCACCTGTGGTGCCAGCATCCCACATGGGCACCAGCTCGCATCCCCACTGTTCCAGTTTTGATCCAGCTCCCTGCTAATGGCCTGGGAAAGGCCAGAGAGGGGCTCCTGCCAGCCATGCGGGAGACCCGGATAAAGCTCCTAGCCTGACCCAGCCCCAGCGGCGGTGGCCGTGTGAGGTGTCAACCAGTGGATGGAAGATCTCTCTCTTCCCCACTCTCTCTGTAACTTCTTCAAATTAATAAATCACTCCTAAAAATAAATTAAAATGCACATCAGGAGAGGATGAGCCGGGGCACTGCAAAGCCGGCGATGTGGCTGGATTAAGTAAGGCTGCTTGAGTCGTGACTGAGACAAATCATAACATAGGAGGCTCCTGAATGGGAAACCAGACAAATAAGTGGAAAAACACGTTATTAGAGGCTGGTGCTGTGGCAGGGGCAGGGAGTGAAGTCACAGCCTGGAACAGCAGCAAAGCATATGAGCGCCAGTTCAAGACCAGGACAGCCCAAGTACTTGGGTCCCTGTCACCACATGGAAGAGCCAGACGAAGCCCTGGCTTCAGGTTAACCCAGCCTCGGGGAGTGAACCAGTGGATGGAAGATCTTCCTAATTCTACCTTGCAAGTAAACAAGTTTAAAATAAAACAGCATCAACACAAAACACTTCGCTGGCATCCACAGAGAGCAGAAGCAGACACCTGTGACCGGATGACCTCTTCAAAATACAGAAACAAACAAACAAACAAAAAAATTGGAACATTAACGTGGGTGCCACCGTTCAGCCTCGAGGTCAAGATCCAGTTCTCACTTGGAGTGGGTGAACTTGAGTCCTAGCTTCGCCTGCCAGCTCCAGCACCTTGCCACCCACGTGGGACACCCTGCCCTGTGCTTGAGGGCTTCTGGCCGGGCCCAGCCCCACCCCAGCTGCTGTAGGCCTTCAGGGAGTGACTCAGCATCTGGGATCTGTTTGCTTCTCCGGCAGTCCAAGTGCTTGGGCCCCCGCTATCCACGTGGGAGACCTGGATGGAGTGCCTGGCTTCAGCCCAGCACAGGCCGGGGTGCTGTGGCCATCTGGGCAGTGAACCAGCTCTTGGAAGTGCTCTCATGTTCTCTCAAACACATCAAGTAAATCTTTTAGAAAAACTCCTAGGACCAGGAGCCACAACAGGGACACTCACCGCATCGGGGAGACCTCGTCGATGCGGTTTCCAAGCTGCGACTCATGGGACTTGCTCCGCGTGAGCGTGGGGAAGCTGGGCAGCAGCTGGAAGACCTTGCGGCTGGGCGGTGGCGGTGTCCGTGGAGGCTTCAGCTTGGCGTGACGGCGCAGCTGGGGCGTGGCGGGAGGCGTGATGAAGCTGTGCAGGGCGCGGGGGGTCAGCCGCCCGCTGGCGTGCAGTGGGAGGCAGGTGTCCGAGAGGCCCTCACTCAGGCCGGGGATGGCGGAGTCTGAGGCGGGCAGGGCTGACACGGAGACGGAGCGCGGGCCCTGCAAGCTGTTGCCCACTCTGCACATCGGGGCACTCCCTGGCAGCCAGGGCGAGCTGGCAGGAGACAGGGAGTCCGTGGGAGGCCCGGAGCTGCTTTCCCGCCGAGCATCCGCTGAACTCCAGCTGGGGTCCTCTTTGTGCTCTCCGCCTGTGGGCCGAGAGGATGAGTTGGATGGAGTCAAGACCAGGTGAGGCAATGTGGGGTCCAGAGAAGTTAAAGCATTGCCCCAGGTTGCGCAGGGCAATAGATACCAGCCTTGCCCTGGTTTCTAAGAGCACCTCTCACATGCACATATCACCTTTCATGGTCTAGCTCACAGTGAGGCCACTGGAGCAGGCGCTCCTGTCCCCATTTCACAATCTGGGTCTGGGGACAGACCAACCAGAGGCACCAGCAGCCACAGCCTCCAGGGAGGGACCGTAAGGGACTTCTGCTGCCTTCCATGCAAACCCAAGAGAAGTCACCTACATTGCCAAGGTCTGTGGGCACAGACAGCAGTGGGATGAGCATTGCACCCCTCAGCCCTGACCACAGCACTGGGTCTCGTCCCATAACGCCAGGGGTTCTGACCTGTCCTGGGTCAGCTTTGGAGGTAGTGAGCTCTCCAGCACCACCCGCACAGCCTTCCCTGTTCCTTAGCTGCCCTGTACTTTCTACCCCCCAATTCCAACACTCTCCCATTTCACCACCTAGGAACTTAGCCATCCCTGGAGCCCCGTGGGCTGGAAGGGTCACCCAGGCCCTGCATCAGCACACCACTGGCTCCTGTGTGGCTGCAGCCGAGACTGACTTACACAGAAACTCGTCTACTGGCCAGATGCAGGCACCGAGTACAGGGGTGTGTGCGCAAGTTGGCCGTCTGGGGAAAGGAGCCCCCAAGTTCTTTATCCTGCTTGTGAAGTTATGGCCGCTCTGGGATGGCAAATGGGTCTCAGTGTGCAGGCCAGTGCCAGTCAACTGGCAGTGGCTTGAGAGTATGCTGGAGTCACTCCGTGCATGGCTTTGTGATTAGTGATGTCTGTTGTGGGTGAGAATGGGCAGCATCAGCAGGACTGGCCAGCACCCTTCACTCACCTTCCAAAACTAGAGACCACAATGCGGGCAGCATCTCCATCAGCCCACAGGCCTAACGTGGCAAAGGACACCTAACCTCTGGCAGGCTCTGGTCTAGATTACTTTGCCTTAACCCCTTTCGTCATCACTGCATTATAGAAACACACAGGCCAAGAGACTGGCCAAGGTGCCCTGGGTTCTGAGTGGCCAGACAGTCTGATTCCACAGGCCATCTTTACTGGGACCTGGCTGTTTTCACCACGTCCCTGGCAAGGGGCCGTGAAGATGTGCGACTGTGGATCCTTGACCACAGGCACCGCACTGGGAAGAGCAGCCATGGCCAGGGAGGATGAGAGGCCTGCAGCCTGGCCTAGGATGTGTGCTCAGGGATCTCCTGGGGATGCAGGGGCCCCAGGAGCTGACACGCTCCCCTGGAGTGGTGGAAAAGCACCCTCTGAGGAGCTCCAAGACCAGTTCTGCCCAGGGCCCGATGTGGGAGCCCAGACACCTCTGCTAACACCCACAGAACCCAGGTGCTTGCACTACCAAATGAGCTTGTGGCTCCTCTCAAAGGGTGTGGCTGCCACACACGTGTGTCACCTGTCAGATACATGGCAGGGGTTTGAAACCTAAGTAACCTGCCTTTCCACCTTGGCATCTGGGGAAGGCAGACAGCAGCCTCCATGATACAAACAGGTCACTACCAGGCCAGGGCTGGCCCTTTGAAACCCTTGCATGAGGGGCAGCAGAGCGGCGGGGAGGGGATCTCGGCTCTAGGGGCAAACTGTCCAGTCCTCCCATGGGTGGCAAAGCTGGCTCTGTGACTGACTGCTGAGCGTCCTCCCTGGGTTTAGCTTCCTCTGGAAATGCGATGAGAACTCTAAACACACCTCTCCTGTCCTGTCTAGCATCTTGCTGGAAGGCCCGGCATGTCTAGATGTTCCGAGCTGAGTCAAATCCCAGCATGAGCTCTGGGTCCCAAGGACTTGGGACCAGGGGTGAATGAAGCCCAGTGTTTGGGGTGGGGCGGGGGCACTTAAGGAGAACAGACATCTCAGGGCTTTCCTTAAGCCTCAGGTCGCTGCAGATAAGCTAAGAGGCTCAGATCATTAAGAACAGGGCTAATTCAGGACAGGCATTCTGTTTCCAAGGCAAGATCTAGAAAGTCTGCAAATGATTTCCCAGGTCCTCAGCCCGGTACTGGGATTGCACACACACAGCTCAGGCTCAGCCTGTACTGGTGGGTGCCCAGCCGGCCAGGAGAGGGCCAGGGGGCTGACAGGCAGGAAGCTGGTGGATCAAGCACAAAACCCTGCAGACAACCCTCCCAGAGGGAAGTCACCCAGGCCCTCGCAGCAGGCTCCAGTCTCACCATGTCCAGAACAGCCAGACCCATGGAGCCCCAGGAGGCCTGCCTTCTGGGGCATTACACACGTTCTGAACGTCTACCTTGGCCTTTCCTAGCTGCCCCCAGAAACCTAGGTCACGCGTGCCCCGCCCCATCCCCCACCTAGGCAGGGCTCCAGCCCAAGGGAACATGCCGGCCCTGGAGAGAGGTACACTTCTCTTCCCTCCCCCGAATCCCCACCAGAGGCAGGGGCAGGGGAAGCCAGCTGGCCCCACTCACCCAGGCCCGTGACCTTGCGCAGGCAGGCGAGGGCTTGCTGCAGGCGCCCACAATCCTCAGGTCCGGCCCTGCAGTGCCGTAGCGTCTCCTTCACCTCGGCTTCGTTCATCTCCAGCAGGGCGTCCAGTGTGAGGTTGTGGGAGATCTCCTGAGGAGCGTACAAGGGACGGGAGGGCCCGGTGAGCAGGCAGGCTGGCCTGGTGGCTGCCTCGGTCTGGGCCAGCGTAGCCTTTCGTTTGAATGGCAGGTGTCAGCTGCTGGCCGGGCTGGCTCCCACCAGAAGCCGCCCCCTGTCTGAGGACACAAGCAGAGAGCACTGGCCCCCACCCTCGGCAGGCCTGGGACAGCAGCTGACACAGTGCACACGTCGCCACTCCAGGGCCAGGGGCAGGGGGAAAAGCCAGATGGGTTCTGCTTGGGATACCTTGGTCCTCAATATTTCTCAGCACCAAGAAGGGCGCTTGTGAGGACTTTGTAGAATGAGAAGTACTTCCCACCAAGGTGGCCCTTTATGACAGACTGTCATACCTCAATTAAGAGTTGTCAAGAGGGCCTGGCGTGATAGCATAGCGGTTAAAGTCTTTGCGTTGAACGTGCTGGGATCCCATATGGGCGTCAGTTCTAATCCCGGCAGCCCTGCTTCTCATCCAGCTCCCTGCTTGTGGCCCGGGAAAGCAGTCAAGGACAGTCCAAAGCTTTGGGACCCTGCACCCGTGTGGGAGACCCAGAAGAGGCTCCTGGCTTCGGACTGGCTCAGCTCCAGCCGTAGTGGCTGCTTGGGGAGTGAAGCTTTGGACAGAAGGTCTTCCTCTCTGTTTCTCCTCTCTGTATATCTGTTTTTCCAATAATAATTTTAAAAAGGGTTGTCAAGATATAAACGGCTCCAAACAAAGGAAGGAGGGTCACAGAGGGGACAGGACCTTCACCTCCCACCTCACTGTATTTAACTCCCAGACAAGCCCCCCAGCTGGCTGACAAACAGGTTCAGAGAGGCCGTGGCACCTGTACGAGGTCACGCAGTGGGAATGGGAGGTCGGGGCGGCAGAACTTTCAGGTGGCTTCATGAGCTTCACTCTGCGCGCTGCACTGCACATCGGGGGCAGGTGTCCAAGTGGGTTTAATTGACACACAAGAGCCCTTCAAGGAACAGGGCTGCTCCCGGGGGAGAGACTGTAAAAGGTTCCGTGCTGGCTTTGAAGGGCCACGGGGGAAGACACACCTGTGGCCCTAGCTGACAAAGACGTGGGGACCTCGATCTACAGCTGTGCTAGGGCTCAGAGGATGACACCCCAAACCTGGCATCTGTTCTAAAGGAAACGGAAAGGTCCCCAAAGCAGGTTGAGACTCAAAGAACCTGTCACCTCACCTCACCCCTGTCCTGCCAAGAGCAGGGATGGGGCCTCTCTGGGACTCCCTCCCGGACATGAAGCCCCGACTGCCAAAACGCATGACACAGCTGCCTTCCGTGACATCCTGAGAGCTCACGGCAGCTTCAGTCGACTGAGACACAAGGCCACCATGCCCGCCTGACGACGGCCAGCTCCTGGGGCTCATTCACATGCCAAGAGAACCTTGGTACCATCTGACTGCTGCTTTTGGGGGCCATTCACTCCTCTGGTCACTCTTCACACCCTATCCAAGCTGGCCGTACTCCTGGAAATGGGGTACATCAGCTTCTCGGTCACCTGCTATAAGCAGGTGCGTGATGACAAGATGGTCCCAAGGCATGCCTTCGTGTGTGGCTCCTGCATGTCCCTTCTCTCCACTGCCAGCCCTTCCTTTCTCCCCATGGCTACATGGACCAGATCCTGTGCACAACCTAAATAAATGCAGAAATGGACCCCTCCCTGAAGCTCCTGCGTCGGTGGCCTCTGTGAGACCCCCGGGATCCACAGCCTGTGCACTGGGAGTTAACACATGCGCATAGGCAGCGTCTCAGGGTGCCTTGCAGTCACAGAAAGCCAACCCTCAGGACAAATGTTTGGCTCCAGGCCCAGCTGATCTCATAGCCTGTACCCTTAGCTCACATATGGCCTGATGCAGGTGCAAACGACGGTATGACAAGGCCCCGGCCTCAGCCGGCTTGCAGCCTGGCTCGGAGTGGGGCAGGAGAAGCAGCATTTGCTAAGTCCTCAGACACAGGTTAGCCCTGAGCTCCAAGACCAGAGGCACCAGACCGGGGTGGTGTACTTCCCTCTTTTTAACTTCTTATGCCTCTTTTCCAGATTTTCTATAACAGCCGAGGCCAGACAGCCTGCATGAAACAATTCCTCCAAGCCCCGCGGCTCTTAAGACTCCAAACCGCTTTCCAGTGACTTTTTGCGGAGTCAGGTATCATTTGTCTTGGAGAGGGCAAGCCCATCGACAGGCCATCCCCAAGGCTGTAAACCGTAGACTCAGTGGTCAAAGCCTCACGTGGCCAAGGGCAGGCTGGGTCCTACAGCAGCCTGAGGACCACGGCTACTGTACTTCTGATCCCTGATCACGTGCCTAGGAGAATGGCAAGATGACCCAGAGACCCAGGCTCCTCGCTTCGGCCTGGCCCAGTCCCAGCCAGGACGACCATTTGCAGAGTGAATCAGCAGATAGAAGCCTGCTCTTCCACTTCCTCTCCTTTCTGTCTCTCTATGCCTATAAAATAATCTTAAAAAAAAAAAAAAAAGCTGCAGGGCCAACATTGTGGCACAGCAAGTGAGGCCACCACCTGCAGCACTGGCATCACACATGGGTGCCAGGTGATGCCAGTGCTGCTTTACCTCTGACCCAGCAGGCTGCTAACAGCCTGGAAAGGCAGCATAAGATGGCCCAAGGTGCACAGGCCCTGTCACCCACATGGGAGAGGGATGAAGCACCCGGTTTTTGCTTGGCCCAGCACTGGCCGCTGTACAGATGAAGGAGCTCTGTCTCTTTTGACTTTTTCTTTTTTTTAAAGACTTATTTTATTTTTATTGGAGAGATAGAGAGGAAGATCTTCCGTCCGATGATTCACTCCCCAAGTGAGCACAACGGCTGATGCTGTGCTGATCTGAAGCCAGGAGCCCAGAGACTCTTCCAGGTCTCCCACGTGGGTGCAGGGTCCCAAAGCTTTGGACTGTCCTCTATTGCTTTCCCAGGCCACAAACAGGGAGCTGGATGGGAAATGGAGCTGCCAGGATTAGAACTGGCGCCCACGTGGGGGATGGGATTAGAACCGGTGCCTATATGGGATCCTGGCGCATTCATGGCAAGGACTTTAGCCACTATGCTATCGCGCTGGGCCCTTAACTGACTTTCAGATGAAGGAATAAATCTATTTTTAAGACAGTTTTGATGACATTTTATATAAGAAGCAACTGGGCCATACGGTCAAGGCAAGTGACCTTTAATCTTTACTGCACAAAGGAACTCCCACACAGGTAGACACATACACAGCCAGCCATGGGTACACCACACACACACACACACACACACACACTCCCTCTCCCTCCTGTGACTGCCTTGGGACTGAAGTTATAAGAACACGCATGAGGCAGATGTGTTGGAAATCACTGTACAAAGACAACGCAGCTCCTCAGCTCCGGCCTGGGCCTCAGACAAAGCGACTCCCTGGGGAGGACCATGGCAGTGTGGAGGGCACCGAAGTGGCTCCAGTCTCTCCCTGTATTGGGACTCCCCAACCCCCATCAGCCACAGTGACAGACACAGCTATGTCTGCGTTGGGAAGTGATATCAACAAGCAGAATCCACTCACTCCGTCTGGGTCATCTCTAAACCAAAAGCAAACCAGAGGCTCCACCCCGGCACCTGCCAGAAGGTGAACTTGCAGGCCAAGCCACCTGAAAGACCCTTGGGTCTGAGAGACTCCATGCCCCAGGAAGGTGGCCCCACTGTCTGGGGGTACAGAGAAGGTGCCACGTTGTCCCTCTCCAAGAGCCCACTTTGCTCTGAGAGAAGGGAGGGCGGCTGTGAGGCCAGATGGCTTCTGAGAATTAGCACCACCCCAGCTTCTGTTTCCAGAGAAAACAGATCTAGAAACCAAGAGCAGAAGACTTGGATGCCCAGCCCTGGCTGCAACCAGCCTTGTGCTGGCATGGGAGTATCGAGTGGGGCAGCAGGAACGGGACGGAGTGGGATGGCCAAGGAACCCTTTCCTACTGTCTCTGCTGGAGTTTGTCAGTGGGAACACCACGCTTTCCATGCTGACAATCAGCAAGCAGCCCTAGTAAGCACTGAGGTCACTGCCATCTGTGCCAATCACGCAACTTCCGGAGCAGAAGCAGCAGTGTGGCCACTGGCAGCTGGCAGGGTTGCAGGCCACGCTTGGGTGTCCAGTGGTCCCCGGGGCTAAGCAGGAGCCATGGGCAGCCTGGGCCATATTTTGAAACAGTGTGGTTGGCAGCGTGAGCCATCCACACTCACTCAGGCACTATTGGGGGCGGGGGGATAGGGACTATTTGGGAGCCACATACCCCACCCAGTCATGTCATAGTTCAGGCCAGAAATGGGAGGAACCCAGCAATCGAGAAGCGAACCCACAGAGGTTCTAGGATGTTGAGCAGTCAGTCTAGAAAGGACCACCACTTTCCACAGGTGCCACTTGCACTTGAGGCCCCAGGTCACAGTCTACGACCAGGGACATGTCTCTGGGAGCTGCCCACACCAAAGGCCAAAGGCAGACCCCCAGAATCCATAGCTAGCCAGAAAGGAGCTGTTATACCCCTGTGAAGTGGGGTCCGAGGAGACTGGGAAGATGGGAAGAGGGAGGGGGAGTGTTCCACAGCAGCCCAGGCTGGGAGGCAACATACCCTGGGATGGCAAGGGGCCCCTAACAGGTGTCCCTGCCTGCCTGCTCCTCACCATGGGAACTGAGGAGAGAAACTTGGCTAGGAATCAGGGATGCTGGCAGGAAACAGAGGGAGCATGAGGCTACAGCAACCACAGCCTGAGAAATGGGCAGCCTTGGGGTTTGCCTGGAGACCAGCGGCCAGCCTGCAACTACTTGGAGATCGGTTCTGCTCGTCCCACCCTGGGCAGGAATGTGAGATCAGCCTTGCTGTGAGCATACAGTGTGTCCTCCAGGCCAACTCCAGATGTGCTGCCCAGTAGAAAACAGAGTGGAAGGATGGGGCCAGGTGTGGTCCTTGCCTTGAAACCCCTTTAGCTCTGATC